ACAAGTCCTTGTGCCTACGTTTACGTGGATATAATATGATCATGTCCACAGTGATCAAAGGTGTCCATTGATCGTGACATATCCACGTTAGCTACTATAAAACGTAGGCACCCTTATTGTAACTCATAAATACCATAGCCATGTCCACAACGGGAGACATGTCCATAACTCATAAATATTTCCTTTTAGAGACGCTCACACTTTTTGGCACTTCGGGAGTTTAGAATTACACTTTTGTATAACAGGATAGTTGAGATACCGCTACCACGTAAATCACAACATTCTACTGTAATCCTACGGTCGTGGGTATTTGTTCTACTTCACAGTGTAGTTAGGACTATTTTAGACACCCGCTTCTTCCATGGTCTTGATCATAACCTAAAACAGTTAGAACTGGGTTTGCAAATATCCACGGGACCACGTCGTCGCAATATATGCTTAATACTTACACGATGATCATATCCATCGTGTAATGTGGACATGTCAAATGGAATGCCTTTGTGAATGGTGCAAAAGGCATGTGAAAGGATGGACGTGGACATGAACAGCTGTGACAGTGGACGTATATTGCTCCCATGTCCCCCAGGATGTCGCAGGGGACGTGAAAAGATGCCGGTGTAGTTATGTGTACATATCCACATGACTTTAACTATCCATATAACTATAACCATATAGAATGTAGACTTTATAGTTAAATGATTCGTGGACATGTACATGACAAACAAACTTTGATTCTAAGCGAATATATTCAAAATAACTAATACGACATGTATATGATAATATGTCCACACCAATTTAATTCAAGGCAACCATATTCAAGCATTCGTTGGTTAAAGAAACTACAACATGTACATGATATTACAGTCAAAGGATATATCCACTAAAAAATATCTATAGGGAAAGCAAATTTTGTGTAGGTATCCAGTAATTAGCTTTGTGTACTTGTCCATATAGCTTGTTTTATGTACTGTTTATTCTCTTCTCCATCTTCATACACAAACGACATAACTAAAAGCAATTCTAGTTGCGAAACGGCGGATTCGCGACCACGAGATACAAGTGTAAATCCAGATCCAAATTCTGCATCACCATCCACGGAAAAGCTTCATCACTATCTTTCGGATCCGTATGTTGGTTCGAATCTGTGATGAAGAGAGAGAGAGAGAAAGACAGAGAGAGACAGAGAGAGAGAGAGAGAGAGAGAGAGAGAGACAGAGAGATCGTAAGAGAGAGACAGAGAGAAAGAGATAAGAGAAAGAAAGTTGGAAAACTGCTTCGTGATTTGAATATTTTTTCTGTGTGGGTGGTGTTTTTAATGTATGTTAGAAAGAAAGAGTTAAAGAGATGTCTGTGTGTACAAAAGAGAAAAAGAAATATATGTGTGTGAAGGAGGTAGAAGATATCAATGTACGTAAGATAGAAAGAAAGAAAGAGAGGAGGAGATAAGAAGTAATTTTTTTAATTACTAAACCATCTTTAAATTCGATTAACCAGCTTTATCTAAACCGGTTGTTCTTCAAATTGGAAGGAGGGATTGAATTGGGTTTTCCAATCCACAAACTACAAAAAAGTGCCATCTTATTTGCAAGTGTCAAAATCTATAATATATAACTTAAGAAGTGTCATCACGTGTAAGCGACTCTTCTTTTAACCATCAAAAGGAATCATAAGGATTTGAAGATCAAAAGGAGGAGAAAATCAAAATTGAAGATTTTCATAAAATTAAGCATGGATCAAGGTTAGTGTTTCTTCTTCTATAAGACATTGTTGGTGGTTGGATTAACGTAAATCTAGATCATCTTGGAAATTAGATTTCAGAAATGAAATCATTAAAGTAATTTACAAATCAGCATATTCCTCCAAGATTTTGTCGATAGCCAAAGTTAGGTATTTAGATTCTGATTCGTCAGGCATCGTTGTTGTCTCCGACGGGCGAAAGAGAGAGACGAGGACAAGAGTTGTGAAATTGAAAGAGAGAGAGAGAGAGTTGTGAAGTTGAAAGAGAGAGAGAGAGAGAGAGAGATAGAGAGAGGGGGAGAATTTACTTTGGCTTCAATCCTATCTCTGAATCGACAATCATCCCATTCTTAAGTCTTTTAGAAGATATCTTTGCTCAACTTATGTTGTTTTGGAAAAGACCAATGCTATGGGAAATTAGTTCTCTAGATCCTCACAACTTTGACTCTAGAATTGTGGGGGAACTTAGGATTCAAAAATATTAAGCCATGTTTCATTTTAGACGTGCATCTAGTTGCTAAGCTGGTCTTGTCTTACTGTCTTAGATAAGTCTATTACTGATGCCAAATAATTGCAAAGATCATTCAAGAGGTATATTGTCCGCATCTGCCATTGATTTGGTTTTTGGATTTTTTTTAAGAAAGGGTTTGTTTGTTTTAAATGAAAAAAAGAAACGAGTTGATCAATACGGTTTTGGTTTAGTTCGGTTAAACTGAATTGGACACTTGCAAGCCAAAACACTGACAAGTCACAACCACAAGTTCTTGAAAACCATAATGAATTGTTTCAAGAACTCTCACTTTCAATCTCGAACTGCGATACCAGTGACATTCTTGTATCACATTTCATCTGGTTCCTTCTCTTGACGACATGTTCAATATATCAAGTAATGATCTTTGATGTTGTCGTTGAGAAAATCAGTTGGTATATCAACATGTCCCAAGAGACGAAGTCATCATTGGCCAAATCTGATAAAAGAATGTAGCTGGTCTCGCAGTTAGAGATTGAAAGTGAGATTTTATTATTGTAGCAGCCATTGTTATGAAGAAAAAAAAAAGAGAGAGAAAAGAAGTAAATGAGAGAGACATTGTGAGAATATCAGAAAATAAAGGTAAAGAAAGAAAAGGAAACGAGAGATAAGTTTGAGAATTGCAAAATGCAGATAATAGAGAAGAATCTATTTACTTATTTGTGTAGTGATTTGTTTACGGATCACGCTTGCAGCAAGTTTCACTGCTTTTCGCTTACGTATCAGTTCTAGAATGAGTTTCGGCCGCAAAAAGACTGTTTAGTCCTATTTTCCAATTACGTGTCATTTTTTTTATTGGTTCTCATCTGATGACGTGACAAAAAAAAACTTAAAACAAACCGGTCTAAATTATTATGGTTAAATGCTTAATTCCGTACTCAATCAAACCGTTTTTAAAATTAGATTAAACCAAAATTTAAGAAAAAAAAAACCAAAAACTTTTTTTTTTAAAACAAATTAGAAATTTAACATTTCTAATGTCTTCGAAATAAAAATAAAATCTAACTAAAATGTTAACTAAAATATTAACTAAAATCTAGACATCGATTTCTTATGGTTAAGTATAAATATAAGCCACTTCTCACTACTTCTTCCACAACTTTTATTGGTTCTTAATTGATGATGTGTAAAAAAAAATTAAAGCAAACCGGTCTAAATTTTTATGATTTAATGTTTAAATTTGTAGTCAACCAAACCGGTTTTAAAATTATATAATTTAGAAAAAAAAATTAAAAAAACGTTTTTAAAAAAAAAAGAATCTATATCTCTTAGTGTTTATCATTTCTTATGTTTCTGAAATTTAGAAAAAGTCTAACAAAAATATTAAAAGAAAAAAAAAATGAAATCTATTTAAAAATTTATAGAATATCATTTCAAAAAAAAAATAATACAATATCGCTAATTATTAGAGTGTTTATGATTTCTTATACTTATTTGTGTAGTGATTTGTTTATGTGTCACGCTCACAGCGATTTTTATAGCCTTTCGCTTACGTGTCAGCTCTAGAATGAATTTTGGCTGTAAAAGACCGTTTAGTCATATTTTGCAATTACGTGTCATTTTTATATTAGTTCTTATCTGATGATATATAAAAAACCTTAAAACAAACCGGTCTAAATTATTATGGTTTAATGTTTAATTTTATAGTCAATCAAACCATTTTTAAAATTATATATAACCAAATTTTTTTAAAAAAATAACAAAATCGTGTTTTATAAAAAAAATGAAATTTATATCTCTTAGTTATTATTATTTATTATGTTTTTAAAATTTAGAAAAAATTTAACAAAAATGTTAAAAGAAACAAAAAATGGAAATTTAGAAAGTAATAGAATGTCGTTTCAAAACAAAAAAAAAACTGAAATTAAAAAAAAACTATAACAAAAAAGTAAAAAAAAAAAGAAAAAATATATATATCTAAGTAATGGAATGACGGTATTTGTGATGTTTAAAACACATAAAACAGTGATCAAAATCGTATAAGTTCATACGGTACTTCAAAAAATTATATCTAAAATACATAGAACAGTGATCAAAAAATTTCAAAACTATTTAAACTAAATTATTTGGATACTACTATGTTTTTATTTACTCTCTTCTATACTATATTGTTTTCAGATTATGTCTTCTAACATTAAAATGCAAAAAAACTAACAAAAAAGTATACTCAAGAATAAAAAAACAAATGAATCTTAACTATTATTAGATTTTCAAACAATCAAGTATAAATTATATCAGCTTGCACAAGCGCGGGAAAATTAACTAGTAATAGTATGGATAGGAGATATACAAGACATTAAAATCAAATACTAATTCAAAAAAACTTATTGATATCTACTATCTAGAAAAAAAAAATAACTTCGATTGGAATCTACTACCCTGAACAGTATGAACTACCGGATAATAATTGATTTCATACTTCAGAAAAAAATAAAAGAAATCTCAATATCTCGACTTTAACGTCAAACTACTAGTGTCCAAGGGAAGTTCTAGAGAGAAAGAAGTCTGAACTGTATTTTCTCATCTATATAAATGCAATATGGGTGTTTATATAAAAGTGCTAATTATCTAAAGTAACACTAACAAACATATCTTACCACCTCACTCTAGCAAACTGCCACCAATGTAGGAAGAACCAATACATTTATTAAAGAAAAAAAAATCAAAAATAGCACACGCCTTCTTCAGTTCTCTTATATATATAGACACACTACACACATACAGCCTCGTAATGTATAGCACACTTACCTTCCTCTATGATTCTAAATACACAAATAACCACAAACATGACCAAGCTCATCCTTATCCTCGTCCTAGAAGTCCTACTCCTCGCTACCGTTACTTCAGCCGAAGATGCTGGAGAGTTCGCAAGAACCATGAACAAAAAACAACTCAGCCTGCAGAAAAAGGAGAAACTCACCTATCTCCGATTCTATTGGCACGATTCTGTAAAGGGCCGAAATCCTAGCGCCACCAGAATCAAAGAGCCGGTCTCGAACTCCACCATGTTTGGATCGATGACCATGATGGATGACGCATTAACAACGGATGTGTCCAGGAATTCATCTGTAGTGGGCCAGGCTCAGGGGTTTTACGCTGGAGCGGCTCAAGGAGAGATTAGCTATTTGGTGGTGATGAACTTTGCTTTCAAGACTGGAAAGTACAATGGGAGTACGCTTGCGGTTTTTGGTCGGGACCCTGTGATCTCATCTAAGGTTAGAGAAATGCCAATTGTTGGAGGAAGTGGAATCTTTCGGTTAGCTAGAGGCTATGTAGAGGCTCGGACCAACTTGTCTGACGTCAAGGCCGGTAAGGCTATTGTTCAGTACAGCTGTTACGTCTTGCACTACTGATATAATTAATTATGTTTCTAATGTTTATGTTGTTTCATCACTTATGTAACCTTTGCATTTAACGAGACGAGTGTTGTTATTTGGTTTTATTTCAATTCCTTTTGTGTGCTTTGTTGTGATTGTTGTGGTGTGTAATCGTCTTTTCCGTTTTTATAAACTTAATATTTAGTAATGGTTTAATTCCAAGTATAGAAAACAAAATATTGGTTATGCATAAAACAGAGAATTTGCCTCAAAGAAAGATAAATAAGAGAAACGACCACATTTGAAAAAAATAAAAATAAATAAGGAACACTTACTTGAGAAGAATCAAGTTTATACTGTCAAAGTAATTTGTGATTTTATTCATTAGCAGTTATATATATATGTACAATAATTAGCTTTGAGTTTAAAACTAATAATGTGGGATAAAATAACTATTCTAATAACTTAACTATATAAAGCCTAATAAATCCATTACTATCTCTTAATACCTTCCCTCAAGTTGGAGCATGGAGATCTCGAATGCCCAACTTGCACAAAATTCCTTTGAACAGACGTCTTCCAAGTGCTTTAGTGAAGATATCCGCCAACTGATTAGTAGTAGAAACATGTTGTGTCTGAACAATTCCAGCATGTATATCGTCTTTAATGAAATGACAATCAATCTTCACATGTTTCTTTCTCTCATGAAACACAGGATTATCTGCAATATGAAGGGTAGACTGACTGTCACAATATAAAGCCATTAGACCAGAATGTTCAATACCCATTGTTAACAATACACTCTTTATCCACTTCAACTCCTTCAAAGCCAAAATCATAGCTCGATACTCTGCTTCAGTTGAAGAGCATGATACAACATCTTGTTTCTTTGACTTCCATGACACATAAGAATTTCCTAACTGTATCAACCATCAACTCAAAGATTTCCGTGTGATTGGACATCCAGCCCAATCTGAATCACACCAAGCTGTAAGATAAAAATTACAATCAGATTTCAATAAAATTCTCATTCTCGGGCATCCTTTCAAGTAACGAACAACTCTCAATGCAACCATCCAATGATCTTCTCTTGGCTCATTCATAAATTGAGACAATATATACACGAAGTAGGCAAGATCTGGTCTAGTTGCAGCTAGGTAAATGATAACACCGTATCTTGACCACTTTTATGGTTCGTTTTGAAATACTTTTTCTATGTTTTTAATTGCTTTTAAGTACTTTTATTACGTTTTTCTAGTATTTGTAGTTCCAAGACTCTTTTCAGGTAACTTAGGGAAAAGCTTAACAAAATGGATAGAAAACCAGATTTCAGCTCAGAGTCAAACCGTCAGAAGTTCACCCCTGATTGAAGGCCTTCTCACCGTCTGATCCAGCTCAAATTTGGAGACCTTAAAAATAGAAGTATCAGCTTTCCAGTGCACTTTACAGCTTAGCAATCCAACGGTTCAATCAAAAGATACGCGAAGAGCAAGATGTCTCGTAAACCAGCCGGCAAGCACTTCCACCCGCGGCCAAACACTCAATCCCCGCGGTCACACTTGTCCCGACCGCAGCCATCAACCTCCAAGCCCAAAAAGCCCATTTCTGAAGCCCACATTTGGAGAAACTCTAAGTGATGTCCAGAGAGGTCTTGAGCACTATAAATACATGTCTTAGGAACCCTAAACGAGGTGTAACCCATCACCACCGAAATATTTACTTCATACTTTTATTGTTTTTGCTTTAGCTTTTAGGGAGAGAGAGATTTGTTCTCTTGAACCCTTGTTCTTTATTTTTCAATTTTGGTTTCTATTCTACTTCTTAATACTATGCTTTTGATTTCGTTCATCATGTCTGAGTAGTTTTATTGTTGGATTAAGGGATTTTCGATGGGGATTTATATGTTCAATGAGGATTCCATGAGCTTTTGAGCCGAATCTTAGAACTTTTTCTTCTGAATTCGTTGTTACTGCATGAGAGTAGCGTCATGAACTACAATCTGATCCAGATGCTTGGTGACACGAAAGTGTTCATCCGGTGTCAGATCTAGTTTGGGAAAGCAAAACAAACATAGGAGTGGAAACCTACCTATGGGCGATTTGTGAATTAGGACGAGTCTTAAACATAATGCATCTCTTCTCTTCCAGGGCCAGAGTGGAAGCCTACTGGTCAGGGTTGAGAGAGATAGTTGTCTATGATCACGACAGTGGCGTATTCATACGTCCGTGACTCCAGTTCGAAAAGTTTAAGCTAAGATCTTACCAATTTACTCTCTAGCAATGTTTTGAATCGTTCGTACCCCTTATAAAACTTCCCTGAAGCCCAACGCCTTCTTTCCCATTGATTTACACCGACTTTATTTCAAGCTTTAGTTCAATATTGTCTTTCCTTTTTAGTAGATTTTCATTTAAGCAATTAGAATATCTGTTTTTCTCATTTTTAGTCATTTTCATTAAGTTTAGTTATTACGTAATTTAATTCCCATATTTTCTTTTAAGATTTCGTTTTTACATTTGAAATACACCACCAAACCCCCACAAAACCGTTTGGTTCTAGACTTCCTTACTTTATACTTATTTCAAAGGCTTTTTGCAGGAAAATATCATTCTTCCCTGTGGATTCGATCCCTAAGTACTACAATCGATCAGCTGTGCACTTGCGGCTATTGATTTCATTTAGGGTAAAACTTGACAACCCTCAACACCTCACACCACAACATCAAGTTTTTGGCGCCGTTACCGGGGAAGGCACGCGTTTTTTTTTTCTGCAAAACCCCGAGAAAGGTTAGTAAATCGACTCTAGAACCCCCTTTTCTGCAATTTTCCATTTTTCGGTTATTTTGTTTCCATTTCAGAAGATATGGATCCTATAAATCGAAATATACACTATGAAGAAGGTTTCTATAACACTCCTCAAGCCACGAGACGCAGAGAAGAACACCAAGTCCGAAATCTTAGCTACATGGATCGATACAGCCAGCAAAACCACCCTTACCACCGGCGCAGAGAGACTTTTCGACGCCGGGAAGATCCTTATGGTCCACCTCCAACCTACTTCAAGCCACACGCCTATAATCCTCCACTTCAGAAGCCTAGTCAGCAAGAGGACAACTTGAGGATCAGCAGACGTTTGGGACGCCTCGAAGGAATGATAAACCAGTTCCTTGATCAGCAGATTCTCACCGAGAATACCCTACTCAAGAAAATTGATTCAATCTCTGAAGAGTTCAACAAAAAACTCGATGATATGGCCAATCATGTTCGAGTTTTGGAAGAGCAAAACCACAAGGATTCACAAACACTAGCTGGGATGATCCACCAAGACGCAACAGAGCAGACAAAACAAGGGTATGACATCATACAAAACTCAAGTGATATTGTTGAATCAAAACAGGAGATTAAAGAAGTCAGAGAATCCACCTCCTGGTATAGAGAGAAGACAGACGAAGAGTTGCAAGAGATCGAGCACAGGCTGAACAAACTCGAGCTCAAAGCACGGGAGATTGATGCAAGAATGGAGCAGATGCCCAACATTGAGCAATTTGAGAGGTTTTCTAAGAAATCTCCCAAACATCCTGATGAAGATGCACATCAACGCCCTGGTATGAGTTCATATGATGCTAGTCTACCTAATAAAGATGTAGGAGAAGTTCGTGTCAAGTACAAGAAGGAAGAAACAGACTTTGAGCAAGTCATATCCGGAGCCGCGAGTCCAAGCGTCCTGACCGCAGCCAATAGCACTTTTCCCGCGGTCGCGACTCCTCTGACCGCGGGAGTTGGTCGTTCAGATGTTCCTCCGGGTTTTGAGAGGAAAATAATACATCTTCTGTCCCAATTTCAGCCTCCAGCACCTAAAAAAGCAATTCAGGAAGAAGAAAACCAAGTTTCAGATGAAGAACCAGATTGGCAGGAATCGTTACCTTGTATGATGGCAAAGGAATGTGTTGAAGATTCAGCTGATTCTTCAATCCAAGAAGACCAGACATGCAGCGAGATGAAGATGTCATACATCGATTCAATCATTGAATATGACGCTGCAGCTTTCTTTTGTGAATCATATTCTGCATTTGAGACACCAGCCAACACCTACAGAGAAAGGCAAGTTCGAATTCTCCATAAGGTCAAGACTGCAGGTCAGTTTCTTATCTCTTGTTCTATTAGAGGAGAAATGTTTAAAAACGTGCTATGTGATTCTGGTGCTTGTCTTAACATGATGTCCAAGGCAATTGCTTTGAGACTTGGTATTAAACACATGCGCAGGACTAGAGCAAAGATTAGCCTAGCTGATGATTCAAATGCAACACCTCAAGGAATAGCTCATGAAATTCCTTTGAGAATAGGAGATTGCATAGTGCTTGTCGACTTCTACATTGTCGAAACGAGAGATGCAACATATCCAGTGATTCTCGGATGGTCTTTTCTAGCAACTTCCAGAGCTATAATGGACTGGCCAAACCCGAGGATTTCATTTGCTAATATCGACAAAGATGTCTTCACAGAAGCTGTTCCATACAACAACAAAGCAGGAAACCGTTCTGCAGCAGAAGAATTTGAAGAAGAACTTTGGAGTGACGAAGAACCTGCTAAGCAAAGCAAGGAGATGTCGAAAAAGACTTGTCTGGAATAAGTCACGTCCAACACCAAAAGTCGAGCTAAACGACTTAAAACAGAAGCGCTTAATGGGAGGCAACCCATTTAGGTATTGTTTTCTTTAGAATTTTTCTTTCTTTTTCTTTTGATCTTTTTCTTTTTCTTAGTTTCAGGTGTTTATTATAAAACAAAAAAGCCAAAAAAATAAAAAAACCAGAAAAAACCAAAAAGAAGGATGGTACCTGACTGCTCGGCCCAGCAGGAACCAAGGAGAAGCAGGAAGAGGCCGCGATATAAGCCCCCGCGGTCGCAGACGTTCTAACCGCGGCCAAGCAATGGTTCGCTGCGGTCGTGCAGCCCCTGACCGCGGCACTTGGTCGTTGACATCAAACCCGACCCAAACCACCCCTTTCACCTCATTTCAGCTCACCAATCACCCTCCACCTCATTCATCACTTTCCACCACCTTCATCACCACATATCACCTTCCCAAACCCCTTCGAATGAATCCGGTTCATCTCCACCAGCATCCCGGATCCAGGTAAGTTCTCTTTGTCCTTACCAATTCGATTATCTATGCATTTTTCTCATCCAATCTCGACTTGTTTCACACTGAGGA